GGAAGAGTAGAGCGATCTTGTTTCCACTCGCTTCCAGCTTCCCATTCTCAGCCTTGGCCCGCCAGTCCGCTGCCATTGTGAGCAAAGCTCGTTCTGCGCTGAATATCTTCTCGCGTCGTTGAAGTCGTTCTTCATCGGCAGCCTTTGCTGCTGTGTTGTCTTGCTGGCGCTGCTGTTCAATTGCCAATAGATGTGCCTCCTCGACCGTTGCTTGGCTTCGGTAATCCGAAGCAGCATCCGGGCCTGATAGGCCTCGTCCGTTTCCCCGGACTTCTGGTCCATGATGGCTGTTTGAGAGCGCAAAAGCATAGACCAGGCCGAGGGCCTGCTGACATGGTGGTCCCTGCTGTCGGCTGACGTGGTCTGCTGATGTGGCCTGCTGACGTGGCCTGCTGACATGGCCTGCTGATGTGGTCTGCTGACGTGGCCTGCTGATGTGCTCTGCTGATGTGGCCTGCTGATGTGGTCTGCTGACATGGCCTGCTGATGTGGTCTGCTGACGTGGCGTGCTGATGTGGCAACTCAGTAATGCCGCTGCAGGGGGTACCAGGAGACAGATAGAGAAGTTAAGACCAGAGGGGGCAACCACATAGGTGGGGAGGGGTGAGTCGGATAAATCGCCCAGATAAGGAGCCACTAATCAAAAAAAGAAAAGTTTGAACCCCCCCTCACACATGTCAGTTCAGGTTGTCCTGATTCACGTGCGGTGGTCCGATACCAACTGTTACATGCCCAGTTGGGCGATGTACATAATAGACCGAGGATCCGCAATGTGATAAAAAGGACTGAATGGACAATACAGTGAAAGTGGAATCTCAACAAGCAATGTGCATTCTGATACATAAAAAATGGCGCCTTGTGGCGCAGCGGAAGACTTAGATACCTGTCCTGACCTGACCGGGACTGACCGCTATCATGTAGTGCAAGACAGCGTAGCAGAACGCTAGGATACCAATGACTAGCCCAATCAATGATGCAATGCAGACCCAACATACATCATTCTCATCACACGTGTGAAGGGGGCCTGGCGCTACACACAAGACAAAGGCGCCAGGTCCACATCATGCACAGACGAAGAGGAGGGGAACAGACGAAGAAGAGGGGGAGAGATGGGAATGTCGTCAACACCAGGTCTTTGTTACGAGTCCCAAATAATCCCTCGTCAAATGTCTGAAGCCCCAAATGTCGAGTCTGGATCTGAATGTCACCAAGCCCGCTCTCTCTCATAGTCTGCTAATGCAGTGAAGTCAGGTAGCTGGAGGGTGAGATGGAGATGGTGGACTGAGAAGAGGAAGAAGAAGAACTCTCTCTCTCTCAGGTACTAACCTGTGAAGTTGGCGCTGTGCTGCAGCTACCTGGAAGGCGAAGCTGGAGCCCTGGCCTCCGCCCAATCTCTCTCTCTCTAGTACTATCCTAGCTCCTAAGAGCGCCCAGCGCTGAAGACTACTGCTAACGCTGCTACTACTCCTGCAGCGCTCCTCCAGAGTGCTGCTGCCGAATCCTGAAGACTACCTCCTGCTTCCTGAACTGAGTGCCTGGGAAGTACCTACGAACTACCTACTGGCCTGCAGGGTCGGCCAGTCCTATATAGTGCTGGCCCGTCCAGGAGGCTGCTCTTGCCAATGCCGAAACGTGCCAGACCCTGGCGTTGAAGCTCAACCAGGGGTTGTCTTGAAAACAGGCCCGAAATGGCCTGTGCTGAAACCCTGGTTTGTTGCCTGAGTTTCATGGCGGGTTGAACTGATGAGGGCCTGAAAATGGCCCTCCGTTTCAGGCTGAAAACATTCAGGGCCGGAAAGGCTCTGATTTAGCCTGAAACGGCACAGGGCCTGTAGGCCCTTGTTTTCATGCTTTCAGGCTGAAACGACACGGGGCCTGTAGGTCCTTGTTTTCAGGCTTTTGGCCTGAAAACGTCACGGGCCTGAAAGGGGGCTCGTGCAGCCTTTTGCAGGCACAGCATGTAACACACAAAGAGAGAGAGAGAGAGAGAGGGTTTGCAGGGATGCTGCCCTGTCCACGAAGTGACTTTGACACATGCTGCTGCATATCTTTTTTGTAGTATGTTTTCCAGGGAATCCTCCAAGACGGTTTGGCGTGCCCAGCGTCACGGCTCATATGAAAACACCACTTCAGATGCATGATCGAATTTCTCATATTTGGCTTCAAATGCCTTGCAGATAGGAAGTCAAATACTCCGGGTATACATTAGGAGACCTGCTGAAAACTGTGGCAGTATTACAGGTGCACACTACTTATACACTGTCTTCCCCCACCGAGCTGGGACTTACACGCACACATGCACACACACACACACACAGTTCTTTTAGCAGCCGGCTTTTATCGTTAAACGATGAAAACGAAAAACAAAGTGGAAAGATTTTCTCCAAGTGTGAAGAATTGCGTGTTTTCTGACATCTGAAAGAGAATATTTCTGACGCACGAAGAGAGAGATGTGCTGACCAGGTATTAGGTGTGAAAGTTTTCCGGATAGAACATGCCAGTTGCTATGCGACTGCACTCAGGCCACCACACCCGGCATGTGACTTGTTTTTTTTTTGCATACAGGTACCAATGGGAGTACCCTAGTGTCCAGACCCATGAACTGTTGAAATACAGACCCAAGTTTGGATCCAGATGTAATCAGATGAACAGAATAACAAAATAAAAAAGTGAAACAGGTTGGATGAACATAATAACAAACCAAAAGAAGTTGGCCCGCATAGGTTGGCCTGCCACTGCGAATTGCACACTCTTTCTGTCATTAGTGTGAGGGGTCCGTTGGCACGTGACCCGAAAACGGAATCGAGTATTTTTGCGCAGCGTGGTGAAGTGCACACTCTCTCTCTCTCTCACATGCACATACACGGTTATGAGTGAAGAGTTGGAGACCTGTGAGGCTTGGCAAAGTGCACCCTCTCTCTCTCTCTGTGGTGTTATGCGTGAAGAGGTGCAGAGTTCCATTCACACTTGGCCGGGAAAGAGAATAGGTAGGTTGGCGCGGCATGGTGAAACGCCCCGTCTCTCTTTTCCACCCACACGCACGCAACGCTGTTGCGCATGCAGTGCAGCGAACTCCACTACACAACCCTCCACCTGCATGTGGACGATATCTGGACCCTGCAAACTCAGAAATGTTGGTTTTGAACGGATACACCCGTCCGGAACGGGCCCAGGTGCATGTAGCACGTTGTGATATGGAGGGAGGCTCAAGATAGGTATGACAGGCTGAGCCGGTGTGGTGAAGTGCACGGTCTCTCTCTCTCTCTCTCTCTCTCTCTCTCTCTCTCGCACAGAATGGTGCGTGGTGAAGTGCACAGTCTCTTTCTCTCTCTCAGAATGGTGCTGTGTGTGTGCGTGCGGGGTAGCTAAGTGTCGCCTGAGTTACAGTGCCGATGGGGACTGCCCCCACACTCGCCCCAAGCAGTGTGTAGCATGCTACGGCTGCTAGACGGGTTCTGTTTTGGTGCCCGATGGTTGCTCAAGGCCTCCAGGACGAGCACCCATTTCTGGTGAGCGACCTGGAGGCCCACGGCCATATTCCATCCCAGGCCGCCAGCATTTGTTATTTTTGCTGCGTTATTCAGTTTCGGCTGTTGTAGTCCAGCTTCAGATTTGTCCGTATGTGGTACTGGACCAGGCATTTGTCTGTTTGTGCCTGACCCAGTCCTCAGGACCATGCTGCATCAGCAGGATTGCCTGGACATCACGTAGGGACCCAGGCTGGCCGTTTTCGACCAGGATTGTTGGACCAGGACTGGGGCCTGCGATCAGGACCATCGATTGGGCATCAGATCCGACGGTCCTGATCACAGACCGAGGACTGCTCAGCCAGGCCCAGGGGTACATAGCCGGGCCAGTCATCCGCTTTGAGGACATTCCGGCTTGAACCTCCGTTGGGCGTCACACTGCTGGAGCAGCGCCAGTTTGGGGAGAGATGCTATAGAGAAGCACTGCAGGATTACAGGAGTAGGCTGGAGTGGGAAGGTTTGGCAGGGGCTGTGTCCACGAGCGAGAGAGACTTACCTGGGCACCATAGCAGGGACTTCGTACTGGTCATGGGACCGGCCTTCAGCAGTGACGTGCATCGGGAGTCCTCACCTTCGCTGTTCAGTATTCACGGCATCGTCATCAGGAGCACGTGACAGAGGAGAATTCTTCTTCTTCTCCTCTCCACTCCTCCATAGCCACTGTTCTTCTTCTCCTCCTTCGCTTCTTCCTCTTCAGAGAGAGAGAGAGAGATTTCAGGCAGTGACTATTTCGGGCCATGGATCCCAGGATCTGATTCGACATTTTTGAGGACAGACATTGGTTGGGCATTTGACGGGGAGACTATTTCTTGGACGACGACAAGTTCTACTCTTGTCCTATTTCCCCTCTCCATCTTCGTCTCTTCCCCCCCTTTAGGAGGGATCTTTCTTCTGTGTATGATTACCCTGTGTGACGTGTGTGATGATGATTGTGTGAGTCGACTCTGGATCTGATGTGTCAGGTCGTGTTAATGCAGGTCCTTAGAAAAATCAGCAAAGCGTACATTCCAACGTTGAAGCTCAGAAATCAGCAGTGTTCTCAGTTCGGGTTAATGCAGGTCCTTACAGAAAAGAACTACTGCTGTTTGAACACCTTTATAACAGATAATTGGGAGAACCCCAAGGGACTACCGCTGACTGGACGATTATCAAGCACCACTCTCTCACCTGTGTACAGTGTGCCTCCTCAGAACTCTCAGATTTTAGAGCCAATTGGGAAGTATGGGTGTGGAAGACATGGATCCATCTCCGTTGCTCCTGTGGCATGTCGGCAGTCTGTTAAAGTACTGCCTCGCACAGTTCAGGGAAAGGTCAGGCTTTCTTTGTGGTGTGTTTTGCTGTGTTTGTGGACCCCGTTGCACTTTCCTGTTGTGAACTGCATTTTATTTTGGAAATTCAGGAACGCCTCTTGCCCTACGTGTATGAACCACAAACTAATGTTATCGACTGCATCCTTGGTTGTGTTGGCTGCAGAATCATGTTGCGCGAGAGAAGCGCCTACAGGCGCTAAACGCTGAGCATGAACTACTTCAGCTGGTGTGTATTTTCAATCAATCAATGCTGCTCTGTGTTCAGCTTGAGAGTGATGGCTTCCCATGTGCTAGAGGGGCTTGTGTACGGCCCCCTGGGACATTGACGGTGTGTTGAAGCGGCCAAGGGGTGCATGGGGTGGGGTACATGTGATTAGGGAATAGGAGGAAGCTGAATCATCCACCAAGTGCCATGGGAATTCAGCAGACATGCGGAGCATCGCGTGCGCGCATGTTGTGCACGTGTGCCGCACAGCACATGAGCAAACCTGCGCGTGCATGTGATGCGGTGCATAGACAAAATAAGGAAAAAAAAAAAGTCAGAAAGGGTTGGCCGTGGTAACCATAAGGGTTGGCCGTGGTAACCATAAGTGTTAAGAAAGAGAATATTTTGGGGCCACATTGTACTCGTTGGATTTAGTATCTTTTCCAAAGCGTCCCCTGCAAAGAATTAGCGGGATCCCATTCATTTTGAAGAACGTGAATTGAACTGCTAGAGGAACACGAGCAGGCCAGCAATATATCCTGGATTCGGATTCAGGTCTGTGTTCCAAGAGTTATGGGTTACGAACTTACTACAAACACTACAGTAGCTGTCTCGTCTTTTTGTTTTTCCTTTTCCTAAGGGCCTCACTATACTAATCAGCACTTGCAGAAAAGAAAAAGGTATGGCTTGTAGGGTTCAAGTTTCCAGGAGAAGATTCTTTCTAGTTTTGCCCACACAGTAGCTGTCTCTTTTTTCTGTTTTTACTTTTCTTACGTGCAGTGGCCCTAAGGGCCTCGCCCCCCTCATCAGCACTTTCACAAAAGAAAAACGTATGGCTTGTATGGTTCCAGTTTCTATCAGAAGATTCATTCTAGTTTTGCACATTTGGTGAGTAGTGGAGTGAAGCCCTGAAAAATTGTGAAAATCACATGCCGAGTTAGTAAGTCAGTAACCCATAACTGCTGAAACACGGACCTGAATTCGAAGCTACGCCATATATAGCTGGCCTGCTCCCTCCTTACTGCACGTCCAGTGACGACCCGTCCAGTGACCACCCTTCCCCTTCCGACGGGACCGTTGCCATATATTTGGCAGGGACGTTTTAAAGTAAGTCAGTAACCCATAACTGCTGAGATACGGACCTGAGTTCGAAGCTACGCCATATATAGGTGGCCTGCTCCCTCCTCACTACACGTCCAGTGACGACCCGTCCAGTGACGACCCTTCTCCTGCCGACGGGACGTTTTAAAGTCAGTCAGTAACCCATAACTGCTGAAACACGGAGCTCAATTCGATGCTACACCACATATAGCTGGCCTGCTTCCTCCTTACTACGTGTCCAGTGATGACACGTCCTGTGACCACCCTTCTCCTGCCAACGGGACCCTTGCCAATTTTTGGCAGGGACGTTTTGAAGTACCGGCAGGGGTTATCTGAATAATGTGAAAGGGCTCTGTGCTCTCTCTCTCTCTCCAGCGTGTATACACACATCACCGTTGGTTGCTTTTCCTTTTTTTTTTGCATGTGTGCATCTGCGATTAGTGCACCGTGCAGCGCACTTTCATCTATGCGCCGCAAGTATGGAATTCCGTGATTATCTACACTGGTTCTTCCTCCCCCCCCCCCAAGGGAAAAAAACGAAAATCCATAGGTTGGTGGAGGCCATAGTTGTGGCGCACAAGTGCACAGCACGGGCGGGGCAGTGTGCTGTGCGCTGGATATTCGCACGAGAGAGAGAGAGAGAGAGAGAGAGAGAGGGAGAGACCTGCTGGCTGGTGGCTTCCTCATCGGCGGCTGGCTGCAGATCCTTGCGGCTGCTGCTCTCGGCGATGGCTGCTGGGCTGAAGGTTGGACTCCAGCGGGCGAATGGGGGTGGACTCCAACGGATGAAGGGAGGACGCGGCCCGCTCTGGAAACTGGCAGCAGCGGCAGGCGGGAGGTTCAAAAATCTGCTGTGAAGTCCACTCGTAGTAACCTGTGTCCGGTCCATACATTCCTGTCTGGTAGGTCGAAAAAAACAAGAAAAATTGGGCCCGTATTTTTCCCGGGGGACCTGTAAAATGTCCTGGGCACCGGACCCCTACAAATGGCACCGGACTGTCTGGAAACCGTTCCGGACGTCTGGGCAGTTACCATGTTTTTATTTTTTTGTCTGGGGGCTGATTTCTGGACGTCCAGGACCGGACACCGGACCCCTACAAATGGCACCGGACTGTCTGGAAACCGGTCCGGACGTCTGGGCAGTTACCATGTTTTTATTTTTTTTATTTCTTTTTGGCCCAGCCAGTCAAGTGGACCGGGCCACTCTGGTAGCCTAGGGGGTTCATAATTTGTAGGGACCTCCCCCTGAAAAAAATGTTCAACTCGCTGCGTGAGTTCGGAAACCGGCCAGGCCCCGGGTATTTTTCTTTTTTAGGCAAGGGATTTCGAGTATTGAATTCTGAAGGCCCCTCTCCCAAAAATTTCAAAATGGCGGATCATGAAAGTTGGGCTAATTCCATTATATTTTCTTTTATGCGGGGTGTGGAAACTGGCCTTCCCACTCCCTTTTGCAAATCCCACACAGCGGTGGAAAAAATTCGTGAGAAGGGTGTAATTGCCCAATAGAGGCCTGCCCCACAGTAACTCGCAGAAGTCATGAGATCTGTTTGGCAAGGTCAGCTGACCACCAATATATGCTGAAGATTGTCATTCAGGTCTGCATGTCGGCAGTTATGGGGTAGGATGAAAGATGCCTGTAGCTCTCTCCGTTTTTTCTTTTTGTTTTCTTATGAATATGTACACCGGCCCAAGGGGCCTAACTCCACTACTCACCATATAGCAAAAGACATAAAATGGCGGTGTATGGTTTCATGTTTTAGCAGAAGATTCATTCTAATGTTATATATTTGGTGAGTTGTGGAGCGAGGCCCTGAGAATCACGTGGAGACACGAACAGGGTCTAGCTGAATTGTTGACCAATAACTGCCGAGATACAGACCTGAACTTGAGCCCGCAGCATATGTTCGTGGTCTGCTCCCACCTCTTCCACATATGACGTGGCCATCCTGCTCGTTTGGTCTCTCTCTCGGGGGCATGTATAATTTTTTTTTTTTTTTTTTTTTTTTAATCGTGTACCTGGCGCACTGCGCACCGGCCCGTACCGCACTGTGCACTGGTGCGCTGCAACTATGATTTTCGGTTATTTTGCTTTTAACAAGTGTGCAATCAGACTCGCTTTCTTCTTTACGTCACACATATGCAAACAGATGGCGATTCACACTGGCACCAAGCGCCCACGCAAAGGTCAGAGATATGGAAACCACCAACACAGTTCAGATGCAAACTCGCTTCATCAGGCTATGGCGCATCGGCGCCTGTGGAACCCAACTCTCGTCACTGTGTCCAACACATCTGTTCGCACACGCTCTTTTCTGTTATTTTGCTTTTAACAAGTGTGCAATCAGACTCGCTTTCTTCTTTACTTCACACACATCCAAACAGATGGCGATTCACACTGGCACCAAGCGCCCACGCAAAGCTCAGAGATATGGAAACCACGAACACAGTTCAGATGCAAACTCGCTTCATCAGGCTATGGCGCATCGACGCCTGTGAACCCAACTCTCGTCACTGTGTCCAACACATCTGTTCACACGCACTCAACTCTGGATCACCCTGAATACTCCATGCGCACACACACACTGTATCACGTACTCACACACACTAACACCACTACTAACTATTGCGGCTATGGCCGCTCGCTAACACTATCGCTAACCACAACTCTTTCTCTGCCCACTTCGACTTCGGGCTGACTGCAGACCACCTGGCACAAGCTGCTGGGGCAGCGCTTCCGCATGGCTTATGCAGCGAATGGATGAATGGCTGGGCGCTGCCTCTTGATTTATACTTCTGTAACTCGTTGGTCTGCCCCTTTCCACCGGCCCCACGGTGCACCCAGTCCCTCATGGTACTTGCTTGACTGGACTGGGACTGACTGGACCGGTACCGCTGACTGCATGGGTTTGCACTGCCAACTCAATGCAGTTGCGCTGCGGACATAATGAAGTTGGGCTCACCACTTGCCCGCTTGCCTCTGACTAAACGTGAGGCAACTTCGAAAGGCCACTTCCGGACCTTGGACTTGGCCTTTCGAGTACTATAGCAGCTACAGATCGACCTTGACCTTGACCTTTCAGGACTGTAGCAGGACTGTAGCAGCTACGACCTTGACTTTTCAGAATTCCTACAGCTACGACCTCTACAGGGCTGTGACTCCTACTCGACAGACCTACAGATCGAACCCCTACCACTACACAGACCTACGACAGACAACAACTGGCAAAACACAGGTCACAGGTTCAAACACTCACAGGGTGGACTCTATACTGTACACGGGTAGGTAAGGTCTGGGGATCGAACTTTGGGCCCGCATCTGTGACTGCAAAAAGGGTGAAAACTGTTTCAACTTGAGAAGCGTTAGGAGATCTCCCCCTGCCGGCCGAAAACAGCTTGCCGAAAACAATTGAATCCTTCCCGCTCCCCTCTGCGGACGAAGGTGGTGGGAGCTGGCGAAGTGCATGGATAAAAGGAGGGGAGGGAAGGGGGGAGAGCAGTGAGAAGCGATAGGAGATCTCCCCCTGCTCAGCTATGAATGGGGATCACACTGTTGGAACATATATCCATCCCTCCCCCGGGCAGCTCTGTTTGACGATATATGTTAATTCGCATTAAATGGTGCATGTAAGGGCTGCGATGGGCACGACTTTTGGCCGTACATCTTTGCTATGCATGTGAAATTGGTGTCTGGAGGGAAATATGGTTTTTGCCTGGCGGTGCGTTGAGAGACCATGCTCGCTGCTGTACCCATGAATCTGAAAAGAAGACATTGTGTGCAGGTTGTGGCGAGCCTGGAGTCGTGGATGTCACATGCTAGAACACTGCCCGTGGAAGTTCTGACGGGGGTGAATATGCCCTCTGCTCCTGGTCCAGGATCAGGAACAAGCCCGAGGTCCCTTCTGGTGGATGGGAGGTATATGCACGAGGAGCGTGTTAAAGAGCAACTGGAGTTTCTGCTTTTTGCTCTGAAGGTGTGTTGGATCCCTAGCACCTCTTTTGGGCATTTGTGTTGCCAGGACTTGATTGTCGAGCTGGTGACCCAAGCTTGTGTTATTGGCACTGCGGGATAATCCTGTTGCTTGCTGTTTGTGATTGAGGTTTGACATTCCGATATCGTGAAGCTACGGAGGAACCGACTCTTGTGGTGTGGATTTGTTACCTTATGCTACGATGCTAATAGGCAGCACGTCTTGAATTGGATTTACTTTTTTAACTAGATTTTATTTGAAGGATGTGATCTTAGAACTTGCTTATACTAAATACACCATATCAAAAAAATAGTTAATTACGTTCATGACTAAAAAAATAAAAATACAGATATGAAGAGTATAGAATCTATAGATTGAAACTGTGTCGCGCGGCGTACACGTACGTGGACCCCGCACACACGCGTACACTTATGCACGTGCGTGCGTACATGTGCGCGCGTGGTCGCAGGGGGCCTTTTCCGGGCCGTTTTTTGGCCCAGTCGGGGTTGGGGGTTACAGTGGGGCGTGGGTGGGTGCAACACAAGCCGGGCTGCAAGGTGGGGCCAGGGGAAGACGGGCCCGATGTGAATTTCGAATTCGTGGCGGGAGCGCCCTGCAGTCTCTCAGTCAGTCAAGTTGTGCCGTGGTCAATTTGTCTGTCTGTATGTTTGTCTGTCGCTCTGGGTGGTCTGTGTGACACAGTGTGTCTAAGATTGCAGAGCATTCCCAAAACTTAAAAAGTAGTATCCCCAACCTGAAATCAACGGAACCAAAGCACTGACGTCTGTCAGTCTGTCTGTCTGCAAGGACCTGTCATGTGTGCCTGTCTGCAAGGACCTGTCATGTGTGCCTGTCTGCCTGTCACTCTGTCACCCTGTCCACGTGCCACGTAGTTCTGTCACCCTTTCCATATGCGTGTCTGTCGGTCTGTCCATCTGTGTGTAGGCAGCTGTCTGTCGGTCTGTCTGTCAGTTTTTAGGTAGCTGTCTGTCAATCTGTCGGTCTGCCTGTTTATCCTTCTGCCCGTCTATCTGTTTGTCTGTCATGTCTGACTGTCTGTCTGTCACTCACTCTGTTAAGCAGTCCGTATGTGACAGTCAAACTGTCTGATAGACAGACTGTGTGTGTGTGTGTGTGTGTGTGTGTGTGTGTGTGTGTGTGTGTGTGTAAAAGTCTGAAGACTCTGAAATTGTGAATACGTGTTCTCCCCCCCGAGGGAAGGGCCTGGCACAACAGAGACATATTTTTGAAAAAAAAAAAAAAAAGAACACGTACGGGTACAGCGTGCAACACAGGATTGAAATAATAATAATAATCATTCACTGACATTCAGTGAAATTCGTTCAATATAGGTTCTATAGAAATGAATTTCATTGAATGATTATTATTATTTATTGATTGGATTTGGCATGAATGTGAATGTCAACATACGTACTGAACTTTTCATTGCTTTTTTTTGGGTAGTTTCAACAAGTTTTTAGCTGGTTTGTACGTCTCTTTGGAGATGAATAACAGAAAACTCCGGGAAGTAAATAAAAGACATTCAATTATCTACCCAAAATGACATAGAGTCCCGAAGACCATGGCAACCGGCGGGACGGTCCGGTTGTCTGGGTGTGGGTCCGGTGTGTGGTCTGGTAGGTCTGGATTGGGCCCAATTTTGAAAATTTCAAAGTTTTTCTTGGGCGAGCGTAGGACGTTTTTCGGGTCCTAGGCCGCCCCCCAAAAATGCCCCCGGTAATTTTTGGCCGTTTCAGGGCCTACCGGACGCTGCAAGATGCCTCCAACAGCTCTCTCTGCGGTTGTACGATGCTGGTATAGTTCATTGGATGATGACGAGTCCGATTCCGAAAATTAAGCGCTGGCTGCAAAGCACCACGGAACATCGAGAGAGAGAGAGAGAGAGACAGAGAGAGAGACAGAGAGGATTTTGGTCACATCTGAGGTCCCGTCCTAGTTCTGGCCCTGACCAGATCTCCGATCTGTTCTTACGCAGAATAACTTGACAGCTGCGTATGGATCTGGGCCGCCCGGCCGACCAGCTCCTGCCCGGGGGAGGTCCCGGGCGGCCGGCCCGGTTGGGGGCTGGGCCCCCCCAGCACACCGTGTTGGCGGGGGGTTTCCGACCACGAATCGGCGACATTCGCCTCCCTAGGGCCTACCGGTTCCAACCACGCCGAGAAAACGGTGCATCGGGCCCGTGAGGCCTGTTTTTTTTTTTTTCATAATTTGGGACGGCCCGCTGGCCGTTGATCATCGACGGCCAGAGGGCGGTTCGTTTTTTGAGGGAAAACGGAGGCCCCGTTTGAACAAGCGACTGGCTGGGGCGGCCTGCATTGGCTGTCCAAACGGGGCCTCGATACCTGCTCCAGCCGCCTGCGTTCGTCGTCGAGTCGCCCGTCGTCAAAGTAGCTGCCCCTCGTCGCCATCGCCTGGGAACTTCACTTGCCTGTCGTCGTCGAGTCGCCCATTGCCCGTCACGAGTGTCGTCGAGTCGCCCGTCGCCAGCGTCGTCGAGCGAGGTGCTCCTGCCTGTCGACAAACCCTGCCGCCCGTCGACGTGGAGTGCCGGTCTGTTCTTCTTCTTCTTCTTCTTCCCTCCTCCTCCCCCGCTCATTTTTCTGCTGCTTCTTCTCTCCTCCTCCTCCTCCTCCTCCCCCTCTCATCTTCTTCTTCTTCTTCTTCTTCTTCTACCTCTTCTGCTTTTCTTCTTCCACGACTTCTTCACTCCTCCTCCTCCCCCTTTCATCTTCTTCTTCTTCTTCTTCTTCATCTCTCGTCGTCGTCCTCCCCCTCGTCTTCTTCTTCTTATTCTTCTCTCCTCCTCTTCCGACTATCTTCTTTTTTTTTTTCTTTTTTTTACATTCGTTACCGACAGGTCGCGAAATAAAAGACAGGTAAGGAGAAAAAAAAAAAACTGCTCTGCTCGTCATCTTCTTCTTCTTCTTCTTCTTCTTCTTCTTCTTCTTCTTCTTCGCCGATCATTCTTCCGCCTCTCGTCTCCTCCTCCTCCTCCCCCTCTCATCTTCTTCTTCCTCTTCTTCTTCTTCTTCTTCTTCTTCTTCTTCTTCGCCGATCAATCTTCCGCCTCTCGTCTCCTCCTCCTCCTCCCCCTCTCATCTTCTTCTTCCTCTTCTTCTTCTTCTTCTTCTTCTTCTCTTTTGTAGGACCGCCGCCATACCCCGCCACCATACCATACCGCCCTGCCGCCGCTGCCATCTTCTTCCTCTTCTTCTTCTTCTTCTTCTTCTTGTAGGACCGCCGCCATACCCCGCCACCACACCGTACCGCCCTGCCGCCGCTGCCATCTTGTTCATCGTTTGGTAGGTCACGTGAGATGCGGCTCCTTCCCCCCTCATCTTCCATAGTACATCCCTCCCTCCCTCCCATCTCACCATAGTCCCTCCCTCGCTCGCCATACTCCCTCCTTCCCTCGCCATCTTGCTATCCCTGCCTCCCTCCCATATCCACACCTCGCCATAGGATCTCGCCATCTCCACATCTTGCCATACTCCCTCCTTCCCTCGCCATCTTGCTATCCTTGCCTCCCTCCCATATCCACACCTCGCCATAGGATCTCGCCATCCCTCCCTCCCTCCCGTCTTGCCATAGTCCCTCCCATCCCAGTATGTACTTGGTATCACACATGCAGCAAACAGCAGGCAACATA